AGTAAATCTTTAATGTAAGTATTTTCTTCGACCTTTGCTATCCATTCAGAAAGACACATTTTCTAGTTTGGATATTAAATAATCGATCCAGTTTACCGTCACAAGATTGTGTTCGAGTAGTATAGTAATTTTTTGTTATGCGTGCCTCACAGTGGAACACTATGAGTTAAATATTTTCCTTTACTACAGTTCAACAAATACAATACCTAAGAGCCACTCAAGTTAGAGTGCACTGAATAAGTTGTATGATATAATTTCTTGTTATGGGCGCCTCACAGTGGTTTTGTTTTGTTTTGTTCCACGGCATATCAACTTCAATGGGTTATTTAATGCCGATAATTTTTTTACGATGGATTGGTATGAATAGAATATGTACTCTATGGTTTAGATTGGCTTTGTTTATTTTGTTTTACGGCCTATCAACCTCAATGGGTTATTTAATACCGACAACATTTTTATTGATGGTAAAATGTTTTTTCACAAACCTATTGCTGCTGATATTTATTTCCCCAAAATGTATAGCTGGTAATATTTTTTTCTTAAAAATGTATTGCTGGTAATATTTCTTTTTTCAAAAATGTATTTCTGGTATTAAAACCTATTTTTACATATTCATAGTGCTGTGACCCCAGTTTGGGTGTTAACTATTTTCCCATAACTGGGACCCTAATAAGTGCTACCACTCCGGGTCAGTGTGAACCTGTGAACACCAGCAATCAAGATGTGGTACCACGCTCATCAAAACCTTCTGATCAAAGGCCTTGCTGTCGGATGTAGTTTATCGTGTTACCCAGGACGCGCCTCACAGTTGAACTGTAATGGCTCAGCATTTTTTCTTTACAGTTCACCAAATACAAGACCTAAGAGCCACTCAAGTTAGAGCATACCATGAGTTGTGTGATATGAACATAAGAGGAGCAAGCAAGAAGTGAAGATTACGAAGATATAGCGTATAGATGACGATTGACCCTGGACATGAAGAGATTAAAATTGCTATGTTCGAGGAATCATTCACTTGGGAGTCTGTTCCACAAAGTAGCGATTCTTGGGAAGACGCTTACGGAGTGGAACGACCTACTTCCCAAAAGAATACATAGGGAATGACGGTGATTCATCTCTTGTGGGCATGGCAAGGCGGATCTTGGTTATAAATGACTGAGCTTTAATGGCTTTCTCCCAGTTGTGATTTCATGATGGAATAAGCAAATAGCGGTAGAATAGTTTAAGCCCAATTTACAGAAATAAACTCTGAGAAGACAGAATGTATGGCCGTTAGAAAGAACGATGCAAACTCTAACCTACGAATCAGAGAGGTCGGGTTCAAGCAAGTATAAAAATTTAACTATCTGGGAAGCGTTATGACAGAACGAAAAATGTGACACAGGAAGCCGAAGTCGTATTGGAATAGCAAAGTCTTTCAAAAGCGAAATAAAGTATCAAGAAACAGGAACATTTCGTTAGAAACAAAGAAATTAGCGCTGAACTGCTGTTTAATATCAATCCCCCAATATGGTGATTGTCAAAGCATAGCTTAGATGTGGCACAAGGCCGAAAGTGTGGAGCTCTAAGCGAGGATTGAACTCATTACTCAGTCGTAATTGTTCTAACGAGACAAGCTTGCTAACCATTACATCACGTCGAGGTTTCCAAATATAGTGATTTTCCAAACGTAGCTTAGATGTAGCACAAGGCCGAAAGTATGGGACACCCAGTGAGGAACGAACTCACTACTCAGTCGTAATTGTTCTAGCGAGACAAGCTTGCTAACCATTATATGACATCGAGGTGTCCCAATGATTTCTAAACTTGGCTTAGATGCGACACAAGGCCGAAAGTGTGGAGAACCAAGTAAGTATATAACTCGCTACCCAGTCTTCTTGCTTCCCTGTCGACTTTGACCTCCTAAAATGTAAATGCAATGTCAATCGTTATCTTCTGTCGTCTTAATTCCTGTTTTTTTATTGTTTTCTCTCCTTAATAATGTTTTCTTTTTTTCGTATATTCCTTCTTACTCAATAACTCTTTGCGTCTTAGTGGCTTTATCACATTGCTTGCGGTGAAAAGAGGAAAAAGCAAAACGAAACAAAACACTATCTACCTGATAATTTTTAATTTTTTTTACGTGGACATATTACACTGATTAACAATTTAGCGGCGAGGGTCAGGTTCCTGGTTGTATGACGTATTGGATTGTTGCAGATTCGTTCGCTTTCCTTTGATGAAATTTATTTCCCTTGATTATGGCTCCTATGCGTAATGTAACCTCTTCTGATGGAGGTGATTCGATGAAAAGGAAAGCCACCACAATGGAAGCGAAATTAGACATTGTTAAACGCTCTGAAAAGGGAGAAACAGTAGTAAACATTTGTGGTTTACTTGGCTTAAGTGGTCCGACTGTCGTTTAAAACATGTACATATGTGTATACATATTAAGTTTCTCTGTAAGATATAAGGACATTTTCTTGTTAAAGTATAGCTTCATGAATTCCTTATAAAAAGAACAAAAATGGAACAAAAAAACCCCTCAAAAAACAAAAATAACTCACTTTTGTTTTTCTTGCTTCATTAGATTTCCTGCTGTTGCATAATACTGCAAAAAGACAAGATTATAGTCTTCGTCATCTAATCCACCGAGAGAGCTAATGGCATCACTGGCAATAAATATATAAGCAGCATAAAACAATTTCATTTCATTATATATATTATATTTATGTCTCCCATGTGTTTTTAGACTATATTGTGTTAACATATATCATAAAAATGTGTTGTTGTAGTAAAAAGAGAACCAGTGAATAAACTTATACCAAAGCTTTATTGCACTGACTACTCGTCTACTCACGGACTACAGGTTGCTTTTTATACCTCCTAGATCTTAAGGGGAGGTAACTGATGATTTATCAGTACAGAATGTCCCAGATTATTACTTACTATTGCGTTAGAAAGGGTGAATGGCATTAAGTGCTTATTAACAGGAAATAGCGAGTACGTTCCGACTTACATAGAAAATCACGTTATAATGCATCGTAGGTACGAAACACTGTCATAAGTCGAGGACCCCTTTATTTGTACACTAGCGTCTCTTTCGGGAATATTTTACGGGTTTCCTATTTGAATTCTCCAATGAATTTTAATTTAATGATTGAGTCAGCTCCTTGTCAATTATACGACTATACCGCGATCTGATCACAAAGTATCAGGACTGGTGCTATGAAAAAGAAAACTTCAACACATATCAATTCGGCATTTAATCTCCTACGAAGTAGTCCGCTTTTGAAGCCACGCGCTTTATCCAGCGTCGTTTCCATTGATGGAAACATTTCTGGAACTCCTTTTTGGGGATAGCGAGCATCTGTCGCATTCTCTTGGATTTCCTCGACGTGTTCAAATCATATTCCTTTTAAGTTGGATTCGATTCTTGGAAAGAGGACAAAGTCGCAAGGGGTGAGATCTAGGGAACTATGGTTGTTGTCAAACCTGGGGAATATTGTGTTTGTTCAAAACGTATTTGATGCAGATTGTTTGCTCACTTTTATTTGCCTTGGTCATTGGTGGAAAACTCTGTGGTTTGGAATATCGACCACACTCTACACACTTCCCTTCCAAGTACTGCTGTAAACAGCGGAAGTAAGTGAGAACGTTATAACTTAATATGCATGAGCGACAGTGTTCAAGGTGACGAAATACCTTACTCTGCGTACTTTAGTTCAATTACCATAGTAACGGTCCCGATATTTTTTTTATCAGACCTCATAAAAAAACGTAGAAATTATCCTATAGACGTATAATTGACAAGGAGCGTACTCAATCCTATATTTGAGCCTATCAACTTTCACAAAATATGACAATAACAATCATAAAAATGAATGCCGGTCATTATTTTAAAAAAATTAAGAGAGTACAAATTAAAAGATTAAAAACTGAAAACTAGACATTAAGCACGTGACAGCTTTATCGCCTCGACTATCCATCCATCTTTGTTTGTTTGTTTGTTTCTTTCTTTCTTTCTAATACATTTCCTTTTGCTTCAGAGTCGAATTTTATTAGTAATTTTACTGGTTTTCATTTCGTTACTGATATCTCAGTTGTTTACGATGTGTAACTTTAATTCGTTGGAGTCGCTATAATTGAGGACAATATCTACTGCAGGTATATTTGTACTGTAAAGCCCAACTCGGCAACCACAGAACTTGTCTTTATACCTTTCTTTCTAGAAACACGTCTATGCACCATCAAGTGAGGTCAGCCGGAAGTCAACAAAAGGGTAAAGTATTTACCCTGTCCACTGCTGCTACACCAATAATTGGTGGACAGGGGACAAGCAAGATATTATAGGGCCTAACGCAAGGTCTCACACACTAGCGGAGTAACAAGCAAAAATATAATATGAAAAGTATTCTCCGAGAGCTTGATCGTCAAATGGAACAGAAGACTGGATCTGGTACTAGTAATACTATTCCGATTCATCACAGAATAGATCTGATAGATGACATTGATTGATGGATTGATTTGTTTTTTACGAGTTATCAACCCTTTGCAGTTTATTTAAAGCCAGAAAATATTTTTAGATCTTAAGAATTTTTTTGGAGTTAATGATTGATTGATACAAACCCTACTAATTAACCCATAGTAGCTGGGGATGGAAGAATTGATGGATTCATAAGTTCTTCTTCTTCCTTTATGTACCATGTCCCTTCAGGACGTGAGCGATTATGGCTCTCCATAATTTCATAAACTATGTAGCTTTAAGCAATATTCGTTTAATGACTATCCCTCCAAGTTCATGATCTGCCATCCATTTACACAAATTCGTTAGGTCAGTTGATCGGCTTTTCCTTCTGCTCTTTCTGTCTTCAATATGTCCTGTGAGTAACAAATTCTCCAAGCCATCATAAGGGTAGTTGCTCGTAAGAGAATATAACGAACCCGACTGGAATTAGAACTTGGCTCTCTATTTTTTCCGATTCCAAGCCATTATCCATTATACCACAGGTAAATCCAAGCTTACAGCACTTGGTATTCCCAAGTGGTCACCCATATAAGTGCTGACCAGGATCGACGTTGCTTAACTTCGGTGATCGTACGAGAGCCGGTGTTTCAACGTGATATGGACATAAGCTCTTGAAAGAAGGGAAGGAAACTGAGGTAATTGTGAAACTTGAAGGTGATAGTAGTGCCAGATGTTATCGGAGCACTGGTAACGGTCCTGAAAAGCCTTTGGAAATGGCTGAAGGAACTGGAAATTATGGGAAGATTTGGAACTATCTAGGCAAAGGGCATTATTGAATATAGTATACTTGTAAGAGAGTTGGAATAATCTAGGCACTGTTTATCACTAAACCTCCATTGTAAAGTACCATTTAGAACTAACTTGAAAACTCAATGGACGCATTCTAATAAACGCATTTGTTTACTAAATGTTATTTTGTAAAGGCGGTCTATTTTGAAAATGTCGGGGACGTCAATTGACAACGAAATACAAAAGAGATTCTTTATTACATCTTCAATAAATAGCACTGTCCATAGAGTTATATAACTAGCTGCATATAGGCAACACTCCATTCTACGTGACATATCATGCATTTCCCAGGCTTAGATAAGAACATTGGCAATGTAGATGACACTTTGCAATCGAAAAGCGGAAGGATTACTACATTGAAGCGGAAAGAACTATTTATCGATTCCGGTCCGCATTTTGTAAGCGCTGTCCGCCAACGCATAGCTTTAGATGTAAAATACGTTTTCTTTCAAACCTGATGAACACAAATATTCTGGAAATGAAATCAACACTTAGATATTTTCTTTTCTTTTTCTTAACGGTAGTTGGAATCACTTAATGTAGCAGTTGTCTGGAATTTCTTGTGAGAAAGTGAAGTATTATAGAATGCTAAAGTTCACTGGACTACAAGTAATGTTTCAGGTTTCTTTCTCACTTTGCTGAAGGCTATCTAGTCTGTGCCGTTTAGCCGACATTTTGACTCTAATCGGCATGCAATATGGCGGATTGATTGATTCTTGACATTCCGATGTTTTAGAAATAAGAGATAAAAAGAATAAAGAAGAATTAAAAATTTAAAAGATTAAAATTCATAAAAAATTGTCGAAATTAAGGTAATATAAAGTTGATTGCGATAAGAAAGAAAGAGAAAGACAGAAGAATGGGGTTAGCTAAAGAGGGAGAGAAAAAGAAAGAGAAAGTCAGATCGAGAAAATAGAGAGAAAGAGAAGGAAAAAGAGGAAGTGAGAGAAAGGAGACAGAAGAAATGATAGAATTAAGGTCATATAGAGTTGACAGAGATACGGGAGGAGAGAGACAGAGGAAGAAGGCTAGCTACAGAGCGAGAGAGAAAGAAAGAGAAAGACAGATAGAGAAAATAGAGGTGAAAGAGAAGGTAAAAGAGGGAGAGAGAGAAAAGAGAGAGAAGAAGTGGTAGAATTGAAATTAAGGTAATATAGAGTTGACAGAGATACGGGAGAAGGAGAGAGACAGAGATGATTCTAAGAAATGGAAATCAAATAGACCTAAAACTGAGGAAATAATTCAAAAAGGAAAAAAATATAAGGAAATGAAAAAGAAAAGAAAAACGAAAAACAGAAGAAAAAAGAAAGAAATAAGAAAAGAACGAAGAACAAAATAAAACAAGCTAAAAAAAATATGAATAGGAATGAATAAGTCAAGAGAAAGGCCAAAGGAAAAAAGAAAAAAATGAAATCAATGAAAAAGGAAAAATAAAATGTAAATGATTGAAAAATTAAAAAAATTGTTTTGGTTTGTTTTGTTTTACGGCATATCAATCTCAATGGATTATTTAATACCGACAAGATTTTTTATTGCTGGTAATATTTTTTGCTCAAATATATATTACTGGGAATATACTTTTTTCCAAAAATATATTGCTGATAATATTTTTTCTCTCAAAAATGTATTGCTGGGAATATAGTTTTTCCAAAAATGTATTGCTGGCAATATTTTTTTTCAAAAATATATTGCTGGTATTTTTTTCTTTTCAAAAATATATTGCTGGTAATATTTTTTTATCGTCTTGCCTAGGACACGGATGTAGTTTATCGTCTTACCCAGGACGCGGATGTAGTTTATCGTCTTACCCAGGACGCGGATGTAGTTTATCGTCTTACCCAGGACGTAATAAAAACAAAAATTAAGAAAAAGAAAATAAGATAAATGAAATAAGAGAAAAGAAAGAATGAGAGAACAGGAAAGGGAAGAAGAGAGAAAGATAAATAGAGAGAAAGAGAAAGAAAAGAGAAAAGAGAAAAGTGAGAGAGAGAGAGTAAAAGTAAAAAAAATTGAAAGAAATCTATAAAGTGAATCGAAGATAAAACAAAAATCAGCAAGGGAAATGAATGAAATTTTATATGCCGTGTTCCTTCAGGATACAAACGATCAGGGCTCTCCACAACTTCTTTTTAGCTCTAAGCAATGATTTTTTCCAGTCTTTGTTCTGCCATCCATTTAAAGTATGTCTTATGTGTGTCAAAATCTCCAGGCCCTCTTTCTGTATTATGTGCCTCAGAAATGTCAAGTCTCTTTCTGATTCTAGCTGCAAGTTTCTTTTTTTCATCTTTTTTCCTTAGAACTTCACCGTTTTTCCGTTTTTCCATGTTATTCTCAGCATTCTTTCGACATTTCCGTTGTCTAAAATCTCTTCTGTATCCTTGCTGAAATTGTCCATCTTCTGTTGCCATATAATGGTCTTAATATTACATAGCATTTCAGTACTATTTTATTTTTGTTTAAAACATAATTTTCCCTTTTCTTAATACCTTGTTTAGCTTTTCGAAAGCATCTTTGGTTATTTCAATGCACCTTCGGATTTCGGTGACACATTTTTCGTTTCCTGGTATAACACTTTCTGTATAGTTAAATTTATGTACTTGCTAGATTCTGATGTCTCCTATTTGCAGCTCGCAGCTTGGGTTGCCCCACCTTGCTAACGACCATACATTGTCTGCTTACTATTAAGAGTTAGTTTTTTCTTCTTTTTTTTTTTATTACTATTTTGTCTAGGAGTTTCTTTAGTTTTCTTTCTGCCTCATCTATCAGTACGATGTCACCTACTTATCTCCATGTTGTTAAGATTGTATTTGCCAGTAATAAATTCTGTTAGGACTTATAGTTCTGTTGTGCCGGGATATGTAACATTGACGTCATTTACGCAGTGAATGAATATACAAGATAAACATATAAAAAAAAATAAAATAAAACACAAGTCTTCGTATAAAAACACTTGCCATATATATATATATATATATATATATATAGATAGATATATATATTTATATATTTATTAAAGACATTTCTTTTTATAGATACAAGTATTTAAGTAAATGGTCCGTTTATAATAAACAGTATTAACGGAGCATTTACTTGTATCTATAAAAAGAACGTTAAACATAAAATGTCTTTGATAAAGAAATTGTCGGACTTTGTCCATTTCTTATATATATATATATATATATATATATATATATATATATAAAGTGTTTTAATGCGAAGACTTTTTGTGTTTTATTTGAGTTTTTTATATGTTTATCTTATTGCTATATATATATATATATATATATATATATAGTAGTAAACCATAACATCCCAAATTACCTCATATGGGGCACAGACCTATTTCAACTGACGAAAACTTCGTCAATCTTATTCGACCCCGGTATACAGGCTGAGTTTATATATATATATATATATATATATATATATATATATATATATATATATATATGTGTGTGTGTGTGTGTGTGTGTGTGTGTGTGCAGTTCAATTTATATTACAATGAATCATTCATACAAAAAGTAGATTAGTAAAGTTAATGATATAAAATGGCGAAAACTCTTCGCAAACAAATTTTTAAAGTTGCATTAACCTACGAATCATTTGATGAATGATATGATTCTTGTTTTTAATAACTATAAGCTGTATAAAGTCTTTTTTTTTTAATCTGCTAGGGGTTCGTAGGTTAATGCAACTTTAAAATTTTGTCTGCGAAGGGTTTTCGCCATTTTTATATCATTAACTTTACTAATCTACTTTTGTATGAATGATTCATTGTAATATATATATATATATATATATATATATATATATATATATATATATATATATATATATATATATATATATATATATACACCTGAAATTGTTAATACAATGCTGTATTTAGTTACTTATAAAAGATCATGTACTAGAAAACAATATGTAATTTTTGCACTTATCTGTTTGAATCGTGTTAAGAGCGAGAGGCTTCCCGGAACTGAAGAGGCTGTTTATTTTGCGCGTCTAACAATCTTTCGTCGGGTCTCGCCAGGCTATGTGACTGATTTTAATTCTAACATCTATAATTAGTTTTTCTTATTAGGGCAAGGGGAGATAACTTCTTGTCACTCGCAAAAGTTCTCTTAAGACCTCCTCTCTGTAAGGGTTAAACAAATACGGCAAGAAGCGCATGATTGTCTCTCGTCCCTTTCTATTTTTGTTTATGTATTCAATTAATTTTTATCTGTCTGAAGGCGGCATTTTCTCCGTAAATATTGTGGATTATTCTTATATCTTTCAGGATTAAATAAAGTTTCCCTCGTAGTTCAAATACATCTTCGTGTCATAAATTATAAAAAGACTTTTGCAATGTCTATGAAACATAGACATACGTCCTTGTATCTGTCTATATTTCTGAGATGAGGTATTATGTACATTATTTACATTATTCGGACTATTGTCTTCATCTTTGTCGCCATATTTATTACAACGTTTCGGCCGTTGTACGCTCCGGCCTTCTTCAGGTGGTTGGAATGTCGAACTGAACCCTTTATTTCGCTCACTGGGGTAGACTGTTCTAGTTCCACGTGCCATGTTTTACAGGAGTTAACTGATAACTGAGATCCATTAAACATGGAAATAAAGGGTTCAGTTCGACATTCCAACCACCTGAAGAAGGCCGGAGCGTACAACGGCCGAAACGTTGTAATAAATATGGCGACAAAGATGAGGACAATAGTCCAAATAATGTAAATAATGTACGTCTTTCTGTATTTGTATTTTTCGATTTGATAGCAATCTGAAAATAAAGATGACGTTTCTTTTTCTAGTGTCTT